AGAAGAAAGAAAGAAAGAGACGAAAGAAGAAAGGGAAAAAGCAGAACGTAGAGAAAAGAAACTGCAGGAAAAATGGGGAGAGAGGATGGACCAGTTGGAAGAGGAGTGCGTGAAACTAAAAGAAAGCATAGAAGGAAGAAACAAGAAGCAAAGAGGAACAGAAGTAGGCAATAAGGAAAAATTAGAGCATATGAGAGAAAAAATGGATAGAGAAAGTAGGATAAACAATATAATAGTAACAGACTTAGAGGGTGAGTTAAGATGGGAAAAGAAGGGAAAGGCAGAGGTCTGGTTAAGGGAGGTACTAGAAATGAAAGGAGAGATAGTGAATCTGAGAAGAATAGGAGGAACAGCGGAGAGAGATGATCGGAGAGAAAGAAGAAAAAACATGTGACAAATTAGATGCGCGTCATGGGAACAAAAAGAAGGAATTATGAAGAAGAAAAAGAATCTGGCACAGAAAAAGATATATATAGATCAGGACTGGACGTGGAAGCAGAGAAGGATAAGAGAGGAAGTAAGAAGGAAAGCGAAAGAAATAAAAAGTAAAGGTAAAGAGGTATAGATGTGGCATAACAGGGTGAAGTCAGAGGAAGAAGAATGGTGGTGGAGCGAGAGAGAGGGAAAAATGGTAGGAAAGGGGGTGGAAGTGTTTCGAAAACAATAGAGATAAAAGAGAGAGAGAGGAGAGAAGGGAGAGAGAGGGGAGAAAGGCAGTAAAAATACTATTCTGGAACGTGGTGGGGGTGAGGAGCATGGAGAAAGACGACTAGGAATATGTTAGGGAATTCGACATAATAGGGCTAACGGAAACCTGGGTGAAGAGACAAGGGGCAAGAACTGGTGTGGAGAAACAACTGAAAGGGTACAGCATAGAGTGGAGGGACTCAAGAAGAGAAGGAAGAAGGGGGAGAGAAATAGGGGGAGGAATAATGGCGTTAAGAGAGAGGAAAGGGATGAATAAGGTAGAATGGAAGAAAGAAAGGACAAGTGAGGTAATAGTAGGAGAAATAAAGATCGGAGGGAGGGAATACATGATAGCATCGGTGTATATGCAACATGAGAAGAAGGAAAACTATGAATACCTAAGTGAAGAGATAGAGGAGAATAGAGGAAAAACAATAATTATAGGAGGAGACTTCAACGCAAGAACAGGAAACGAAGGAAGGGAATGGGAGACAGAAGAAAACCTAGAAGAAGTTAAGGCCAAGGATAAAGTGTTAAACGCAGAGGGAGAAGAAATGATAAAATGGCTAGGAGAAATGGGCTTAGTGATAACGAATGGGAGAAAAGAAGGAGATGAAGAGGGAGAAATAACATATCTAGGAGCGAGAGGAATGTCAACGATAGACTATATAGTAGGTAACGAGGAAGGTGATGAGGCGATAAAAAAGGTTCAAATAAAGGAGACGGTAAAGTCGGACCACTTACCAATAGAGGTGGAACTGAGAGACAAAATAGCGGAAGAAAGAAAAGAAGAGGAAGAAGGAATGATAGACGACTGGAGTGAAGAAGGTATAAGGGAGTATCAGAGATGGATAGACGCAATAGAGGGAACAGATAAATGGAAAGATATAAAAAATAGAGTGAAGAACGCAGTTGTAAAAAAGAAGATAAGGAAAAAAAAGGATCAAAAAAAAGCTGGCCGAGAAAAGAATGTAAGGCAAAAAGGGATAGGGTGATGGCAGAGTTAAATAAGGTAAGAAAAGGGGAAGGAGACAGAGGCAAATACCTAGAAGCAAAGAGAGAATACAGAGAGGAAATAAGAAAAGCAAAAGAAGATGAAGGGAAAACAGTGGCAGAAGAAATAAGAACAGATTAGACGAGAAGAAAATTCTGGGATAAAGTGAATGGCAATAGTTAGAAAAGAATTGGATTAGACGAAAATATAGGAAAAGAAGAATGGATAAAGCATTTCAAGGAACAATTGGGAGAAAAAGAACAAGAAGAAATTAAAGGGGAAGAAACCGAAGACAGCGAAGGAGAGGAAGGTGAAGAAATTAAAGAAATAGAAGTAAAAGAGGTAATAAGAAAAATGAAAAAGAAAAAGGCGACAGGAGAAGATGGTATAGCAAATGAAGCGTGGGTGGAAAGCACGGAAGGCTTGATAAAAGATATGACAAAATGCTTAAATGGAATATGGTACGGAGAAGGATATCCGGAAGAATGGAGGAAGGGAATAATAGTACCAATATATAAGAAAGGGAGGAAAGAAGAAGTAGGAAACTATAGAGGAATAACGCTGATGGATACGGGATACAAAATATATGCGGAAATACTGAGAAAAAAGCTGGAAAGAGAACTAGAAGCTAAGGAAACGCTAAGTGATACGCAGATGGGATTTAGGAAGAAAAGAGGAACAATGGACGCGATATTTATATTAAAAACAATAATAGGAAAGGAAATAAGGGAAAAAGGAGGAAAACTGTTCGTATTCTTTGCAGACATGAAGGCCGCTTTTGATAAAATAAAGAGGAAGAAAATATGGGAAAACAATGAAAGACAATGGGATAAATAGAAAAATTAGGAAAAAAATAGAAGAAATATACAAGAAAACAGGGAGTAAGGTAAAAGTTGGAGGAGAAATAATTGGGGAGTTTGAGACTTACAAAGGCGTACGGCAAGGGTACCCTTTGAGCACCACGCTATTTAATCTTGCCTTCGCCGACCTGGAAGTGAAGATCAAGCAGGTGCAGGAAGGAGGGTTAGTGATAGGAAGGAAGAAAATATGGACATTAGGATACGCAGATGATATAGTGATGATGGCAAAGAGTGAAAGTGAAATGAAAGCAATGCTGAAAAAATTAAAAAGAAACTGGAAGAAAGGGGGTTAGAGTTAAATGTAGGAATATCAAAGATGATGAAATGCAGCAGAGGAGGAGGAAGGGGGAAGGAAGAAGAATTCGAATGGGAAGATGAGAAGATAGAGATGGTAAAAGAGTACAACTACTTAGGATATGTGATAAGCAGAAATAACGGAAATAAAAAGCAGATAAAGAAGGTAGAAGGGAAAATAAATATGGGACTCGGAAAGTTATGGGGGCTAGGAGAAAAGCTATTTAGAGAAAACTGGGAGCTAAGGATGAACCTGTTCGATGCTCTGGCGAAAAGCGTGATTATGTATGGAGCAGAAATCTGGGGATGGAAGAGATATGAGGAAATAGAGAGACTACAACTAAAATACATAAAGTGGGTATTAGGATTAGATAGAAACACGCCAAGTTACCTAATACGATGGGAAACAGGAAGACAAGAAATGCAAAAAACAGCATTAGAAAGAGCAATGAAGTATGAAAACAAAATAAGAGAAGAAAGAGATGGCTTAATAAGAAAAGAAGCATGGAGAGAATTAAAAAAAAGGGAAAGAAATGAAAAAGATAAAAAGGGTAAGAAGGAGGAGAGAGAGGAAAGGCTGGAAAAAAGTAAAATATACAGAGAGAGAGAAGAGGGAGATGAAATGAGGGAAGAGTTGTGGGAACAAATAAGAGATGAGCTGAAGAAAAAAGATGAAAAAGAATTAGAAGAAAAGCTAGAAAAATCAAGGTACATAAACGAGTGGAAAGAGCTGAAAGAAGAAATGAAAAGGTATAGGTTAAAGGAAATTCAAGGAGAGGGAAGAATAAAAGGCCTGCAAATAAGGGAAAGGTTTAGGTTAGGTAATGAAACGAGAGGAAGCAGGTATTGGGAAAAGAAGAAAATAAGCGATGCAGAATGTGTATGAAAGAGGAAGAAAACTGGAAGCACATGGTAGAAAAATGTGAAAAAAGCAGAAAGGAAGGGGAAGAATGGGAAAAAATAATAATAGGAAGCAAAGAAAAGATAGCGTGGATGATGGAGATAAAATGGAAAAGAAGAAGAAAGGAAGGGGAAGAATGGGAAAAAATAATAATAGGAAGCAAAGAAAAGATAGCGTGGATGATGGAGATAAAATGGAAAAGAAGAAGAAACGAAGAGAAGAAAGAAAAAGAAAAGCAAGAAGACGAAGCTACAAAACCCTAAGGAGAGACGGAAATAGAAGACAGAGAAGCAAGACTCGCAGACACATCTACACACACATACATACACACACATACACACAAAACACAAACATACGCGCAAACATAAACATACACATGCACACACACATACAAGACACAAGTAACAGCAACTACACAAGCGAGAGGAAGCAGGTATTGGAGGATGGAGCAAAATGGAAAAGAAGAAGAATCGAAGAAGAGAAAGAAAAGGGCAAACTAGAAGGCAAATCATAAGATACTAAGAAAAAATAAGTGAGGTTGAGGAAAGGAAAGGCAGAGGGAGCAATAAGAAACAAGAAAAAGGTGTCAAAGCCTTAACAAGAAGAAAGATAGATGAAATGATTAGCAAGAAGGAGAGCAAAAGCAAAGGAAAGGCAAAGGTGAAAAGGCAAAAGAAAGTAATAAAGGAAAAGCTGAAAAGAAAACAGAAGAGCGGAAAAGGCAGATCTTGGAGAGAGAAAGAGGAAGAGAAGATTAATTAGAAGAAAAATGAGAAGAAAAGAGGAACAGGCAGGCGCAGAAGACAGGGACACAAGAGTTGCAGACACACCTTCAAAGGCACATATTTACACAACACATACACACACACAGGCACGCGCGCACTCACACACACACAAAACACATACATAATCAACTACACAAACTGGATACGAGACACAAATAGAAATATAAGAAATGTAAACCAAATGTAACATATAAGTTGTAAATAAATAAACTAAACTATATATATTCCATATGGTTCGAAATCTCTACAAAAACTTTTAAAATCATGTCCCGTCGGTTGCTGTGGCATATTTTAGAGTCGAGATATAATACTTTGAACTTTTGCTAATTTTGGTCTAGGATGAGCAAAAGTTGTCCGACGGCAGTGTATGTATATATTTAAAATCAAATCACACCATTCGAATAAAATCCTCGTTAAAATATTAGTTATTATTATTCTGTAAATATTAATTTACAGAAATTATCAATTGTATTTTTCAGGCCAGTGATCGACGAGTCTTTAACAGATATTAATACAATGCACTTTGACAGTGCAGAAATCGGACCATCAGTGAAGCCATCATTGATTACTGAAGAAAAATATGTGGTCACTTCTCAAACTGAAAAAATGAAGCTTAAAAATATTGATTATATTCATTTAGAAAGTGATCAAAAGCTAGAGTCTCATGATATAAAAGTTTCTATTGATATGCCAGTTATAGAAAGATTACTACCCATAGGAAAAAATTCACGCTGTACTGGTATGTATTAAGATGAATCATAAAACAACAGATCGCACTCAATTACTGTAGCCTAATTCGTTATTATTTTATTTTTACATTTGGTTCATCAAATTTGTCGGTTATATCTTCGCAATTAAATATGAACAGATGGTGATATTGGTATGAAACGTTTCAATGTGTATGCTAGTGGTTGGTTAAAGCTTAATTATATATAGTGAGGTAAATTTGTTAGAGGGATAGAATGAATTGATTAGTATAAGGCTACAGTATCTTGTATACGAGTATTGGTTGAATTATGCGTTGTTTTTATTTGAGAATGGTCACATTGAAGATGGCTGTTATGTAGCAAACTCTAACTACTTTCTGGAGTATGTTACATAACTTTCGGACAGGACGTTGAATAAATCCTGCACGAACACCAGTAAAATTGCGGATTTTGGACTGGCGTAATGCGGAGTTTTAAATACGAACTTTTTGGTGCAATTTAGCTAGTGGCTTTCCTGGTTAGCTTAGAGTGTGGTGACTAGCGGAATAGGTTTGTGTTTACTGAGAACTTAAGGCCTATGTCCCAGGCAACCAAAAATTCATTGTTCGAGCGGACTATCCCTCTTCCGAATCTTCAAAAGAAGATTCAATTCCAACAAGTCACTAGCTAACATCGACTGCTCACCGCTAGCACCGGCAGCTTCGTCTACCCGTCAAAGTACCATAATATTGTACCATAGATATTGTGCCATAGATAAGCTATGGTGGTTCTCAAACACTTGAGGAGCTCCTGATAACGCAATCCATGTTTTAGAACCACCACAAGGTTTTCGTGAAAACGGATGCAGTTATTTGCAAAAAAAATTTATTATTGTTAGTCAAGACGCCTCTATCCTAAAAATGCAATAAAAAAGACGAAAATTTATTTATTATTATAAATAAACAACAATGCTGTTTCCGCACTGAATCAGCTAGTGCTTTAGGCTGTATCAGCTATCTCACATACCTTTGAGAGGAATCTCGTCCCTATTTATAAAATAAGTGTAAAAATTTATTTTATAAATAAATTATATATATATAAAGAATATGCCGAGATAGGACGTTGAATCGAATTTCATTAATACACTAGTTATCAATTATTATTATTAATGTATATTTATTTAAGATTAAAAAAAATTTTTATTAAAGAAATCGAGTGAAGGATTTAAGTGATAAGAGCCCCAGTCACGCTCCCTACCCGTGAATTTAACCAATAACCAATCCCTCCGATCCTTCCAAAATAATTTTTTTTATATCTAGCAATTTTATATCTTCTTAGCCAGCATTTTTGGGGAAAGGTATAGTATCGGACGAATATTTTTCAGAATACATTTTTGAAATATCTTTATCTTCCTCTTGTTTTCTTCTTCCTCCTTCGTCTTTATCGTTGAGTTTTGTCCATTACTCTGATTTTGGACTATTTTATTCGTTGATTAACTGCCAGTTCATACACACATAATCAAAATACAACTATATCATCAACTTGGCGTTGTGAAGTGCACACTGAGGGTTACATTGTGATTTCTAACCAATCAGAAGGTTCTCTCATTATTACAATCATGAAAATAATATGCATGACTTTGGGTATTAACAATATTATTGGAAAATTTTTCATTCTTCGGAATTTATTATTTTGCAATGCATAACTAGAAGATATTTACATTAAATAAAAATTAAATAAATTTAATTAAATCTTAAGTCCTTTAAGATGAAACCAAGAATTTTCGATTTATTCATTTTTCAAATCGAACACGGTTAAGTAGCTTCATATGACTAATCACATGAAGTGAGAGGAAGAGGGAAAGAGAATCGAGATAATACTAGAGGTAGGATAGAGAAAGGGATGAGTGACGGAGGGAGTGGAAAGAAGAGGGTGGGAAAAGGAAAGGGGGAAGGGACAGGTCGATATTTTCATACTTGAATTCCTTTCGAAGTCGACAGTGTCACACTCAAGTTAACATGTTTCAAATAGATACTTTCATAGTGACTACTTCGTTAGAGAATTTAAAAAAATTACTATCCAACTTTTTAAAGTTTTGCTCTTGAATTAACCCTCTGAAGTTCATGAATATAAATCTTTGAATATTATTCCGGACCAATAATTTCCCGCTTTTTCCAAATCCGGTATCAGAAATAGGGATTTCCATTAAAAAAGTAAGGTTAACCTTGAAATTACTTTGAGGGTGGGGTGGGGGTCATTGTGACCCCATACATATTACATGATTTGATCATAGAATTTAACACAGAATCCGAATCCAAGATAAAAAGTAAGGGTTTTTTATTTAAAAAACATGCACCTTGACCCATCATGATCAAGGTCATATTTAAGGTCACCAAAATATGGGTCCCTTGGTATTGAGCAACTTTTGTCTGAACTATTTTTCTATACTATGCATAAAACTTGAGATAGGTCCATAGATTAAAATAACTCACCTTATATATATATTTATTGTTTTTGTTTGACGATTGGCAGCATACCCATGCTATCAAACGTACCAAACGGTGTGATTTGCCCGAGCCCGCTCAATCCAGACCGGGCATTAGGAAATATTTGTGTATATGGGTAAGTACTTAACTTTTTGGTTTTCTGCTTTTGTGAGTAATTTCTTTATTTTTTTATTTTTCACAGTGGAAGCATTCTGAATCGCCAAGACCAAAAAAAGCACGTCAAAGTCGGAGCAGTGTTAAGTCAATGTTGATTATTTTTTTCGATTGTGAAGGTGTTGTACATCATGAATATGCACCAACCGGTCAGACAATCAATAAAGAATACTACGTTCAAATTTTGAAACGTTTGCGTGATGCAGTAAGTAGAAAACGGCCGCAATTTTGGGAAAGTGGTGACTGGCTTCTCCATCACGATAATGCGCCAGCGCATTCATCCAATCTTGTGCAGCAGTTTTTGAGCAAACACAATATCACATTGCTTCGACAACCTCCATACAGTCCCAACATAGTCTCTTGTGACTTTTGGCTGTTTCCAAAACTAAAAAAACCACTCAAAAAACACCGATTCGATGACAAAACAACGGTTGAAAACAATGCGACGAATGTACTTAAGTCTATCCCTAAAAGTGAGTTCCAGGACTGTTTTGAAAAGTGGAAACGTCGATGGAACCGTGTTATTCAATCAAGTCGAGATTACTTTGAAGGATGCCAGCCACCAGATGATAAAAAATAACGCTAGCACGAAAATATAAATGTAGGCCCGATACTTTCCGGACAGACCTCGTACATTTTATAACGTGCGCTACTTCTCCAGCTATTTTAACCATATAGTTTGGTTGTTTCATAATGTTGGAAGCGAATTCATCTGATGAAAGTAATGCAATGGATAAGGAGTTTTGGATTATTTTTTTTCGATTTCGCATTTTTCTATTACTATGTTAATGTATAAATTATTTGTTTGATTTTTTAAAATCCTTTCAACAAACACGAATTTGGAGTTTATATAAGTAAATAGATCAAGATTTACTGCCTTTTTCCTTTCTAATAATATCATTGTCATAGAAATATTTGTTTCGTTTGCTTTATGTTTACGCAATACGTAATTTTGTATGTTTGGTTCTAATGAATTCTCGGTTAGACTGTACTATTGTGTTTTTTGTTGATAATGCGAATGTTACCTCATTAGAGTGTACTACGTAAGCTATTTCACGATAATCACTCCTGGAATACTTAGTTGCCATATCTTGAAATAGGATGTCGTATGTATTTATGAAGCATTCTCCCTTTGGTAAAGTTTTCCAAAAGATATGCGCTGCCTGCAAAGTCTATACCTTTAGTCGTTGTGGCGTTTGTTATTAAATTGGCTATGATGTGTATTATTGTAATTGAGTATGCCTGTGTCGTGAATATTCTTACAATGTTCGTGACTTGTGTCTTCAATTTATTGTTGTTCTGCGTTTGGTACTGGAATGAGATAACCGAAGTATCCACAGTCGAAGATCGTGCGGTGAATTTCAATTTTTCATTCAATAGTTTATATTTCTCGGAAGTCCGCTATTTGAATTAGTTCTATGGCTACTGCTGAACGATTCACTTGAGTATTGTAAAAATCGCATTTTCCAGAGTCAAAAAGTGAAATTGTTGTGATATTTTGTGTGGTGGTTCCACAGTCATACCCAATTTGCATTGCTTAGTTTGAGAAGTGAAATGGTAAAAATTATGATGGTGATCATGTTTATTTTTCTAAAACAGAAAAAATGAGTTAGTTTTTCTTTTTATGAATAAATAGTTTGTTCGCATGATCATGTTTATTTTCCTAAAACAGAAAAAATGTGTTAATTTTTTTTTTACGAATAAATAGTTTGTTCGTGTGGTTTTCCTTGTTTGTTTATTGTAATATTGTTTTTATTTGCTACGTTTAGTACTTCATATGGTTCTAAATTTTGATTTTTTTCTCATTTTCCTGGTTTTCGTTCTTTTATTAACCAAATCGACTATTTTTAAATTATGCGGGTTTATAAATTGAACGTAATATATATTTGATTTTTCTTTTGCGAGTATAATATTATCATGTGCTATGTCAGAAATCTCTTTCATGTTTTTTATTAAGTTAGCAATATAGTTATTGAATGTAGATAATTGCTCATAGGCCTTAATAGGTTCACTTGAGGGTAATCTCGTAGGGTAAGCAAAAACTAGTTCATGTGGCGCGAATTTATGTGCACTGTGTACACTCGTGTTATAATGGAATTGTGCTCATTCTAATAGATCATTCCATTCTATTTTCTTTAAAGTGAAATAGCCTAGCCGGGTAAACATGTCAAAATTGCCCTTGAGGATATCTGGATTCGGACTAGAGGGATCTTTTTGTTATCAAAAGTTATGACCTCAGTCAAAACTTCAGATCCCTAACCCAACATGCGGCAATATGGGACGCTGTTTTGTCCAAAATGATTTTTCGTCGATATCTTGGTCAATTTTTGATCTACAAAAAAATCTTTTTTTTTCACAATGTGTAGTTTTCTAAGCCCTCCAAAGCTGTTCAG